CACTAGCTTTAGGAATTGATGAATTTTCATATGCGCGAGAAAACGTTCTCCATGCGTTTTTCTTCTTATGGCGTCTGTTTATCGCGACAATCCCAAGCCCGTGGAATCGTGCCATCCTCGCCATTTTAATGCTTTATCTCTCGACTCGAGTCACGAGAGAACGAGGATTTTTTTCATAACTGGCGAGGGAAATGAAACGAACGAGCTGCTCGTAGATAATTTGTCGGATTCTTTCGCGAAGCAACGCCGGCATATTAAATTTTGGAGCGACATAAGTTACAGGTCGTCGTGAGGCTCACAACGGGGCCATGAAATTTCATCACCAGCCGTTAATACAATGCCGAATGTTGTCCGTTTTTCACTTTATACAATATTAAGTATTCAGACTGGGGCAGGCGACAGAGAAAGAGATGGTAATAAAAGAATGGTCACCCTAAATTAAATTCTTTCCTAAAATCTGATCCGCAATTTAAATTGTTCTAAATTTCTGCTCGAAATGTAGATGGATAAATTAATAAGATTACGTGAAGCGAAGTTGAAAAGAAGCGAAAGAAAAACAATTCAATCGAATTTGATATATATTATGAAAATGAGTCATCTTGGAAAGTTATCTTAATATCGTCCCCTGACAAAAAAAATTCCTCGACAATTATACATCGAAGAATAAATTTTATTCTTTATAAACAAATATCTGCTGTTATTTGTCACGTGTCTTTAATTTACAAATAAGACACTTAATCTATATTTGCTACAAAATATAAATCGTATATGAATCTCGATTGTTTTAAATATCAGCAAGTAAAGTTTTAAAGCTCATACCATACACTTGTTTTTGATTCAGAGCAGTTACTCTCATCAAAACAACGCATAGCTTTGCAAATCCCAAGTTTATATTTAAAAATATCAAATATTGAATTAAACAAATTCTTTAATTTGCAAAAAAAAAAGAATACTTCTTTTAAGGATAAAAACCTCTCGTTTCATAGGGAGATTATGCTTATCATACTAGCAATAACTTTGCAATATTTATCAGTATCATTTCTCTATTATATGATATTTATTTTCAACTTTATTTTCACTTCGCTGTGCCTATAGTTCGAAATACGCCACCATTTGCTTCCTCATATTCTTCGTACAAATATGAAAATTACGAAGAAAATATTTCGGCCATCATTTTGACCAGCTCAGTCGAGAATTTATCCAACACCGAGTAAATCGCAAGATAGAAACAACGCGCATAGTTGGGTCATAGCAATCGAGTTATTAATGGTGTTACGCGGGTTTAATTTATCCACGTGGGGGGAGGGAGCGCGCGTGTGCGCAGATGCGTTTCGAATCTAATTATCTCGTAAAGTTGCGCGCTTTATAATACCTTGTTAAATAGTTTATAATCGTATACACGTATGCGAGTATCGATGACTTATCGAGCAATTATCGATGATTGCCGGATAAGGCAAAGCGAAAAATTGAGCAGCTAATCGAGACATCGACGAAGCAAATGAGATTTCCACGGCGAAATGTCATTAATATCCAATTTCGTTCGTCTCGAAGAATTTTACAAATTCTTGCTTCAAAATCATTTCATCAATTCGAAAAACATTTCATTTCTGCGTGTTGCGTGTATCTGAATTTTCCTTCATTCCCTGCAAAGCATTGTTTTCTCACGCTTGTAAAAAAGTAACCACGTACCTGAGGATAGTCTCCATCCTTCATCTGATAGTCGAACACGTAGAAATAGGTCTTTGGCAGTGGTTCCTTCTCGCTTTCCGGGATCGGCGCGATGTGAGGGTTATTCGGTTTCTTCGTGTGCCTTAGAGTGAACAGGTCGCCGGTTTGCACTAATGGAGCCACGAACTGGGCGTCGCTTAGTGCTTGGACACAGGCGTCCTTCGTGTTCACTGGATGCTGCACTGTACGTTCCCAATCGGTGTATTCATTCACCACCTGATTCATTGCCAAAAATAATGGAAATGGATTAAAGATCAGAATGTCGTGCTTTTACTTCGAACATTAAATAAGCGTTGAACATTGTACATAAAGAAGAAGGGCAAACATAAAAAGATTAAGTCTATCGTTTCAATCCTTTGAGTGTCTCTACCAAAATATTATATAGATAATGTTATAATGAATAATGAAATAATTGGTTTACCTATTAGTAATTCAAAGATCCTTAAAGATAAATTCTTGGTTTGTTATATCACATATGTTCCTCATCTTAGTTTAATTAGTCTCCTTGATAATTTAAAGCTCATTGAATTTTAAGGGACTGCATCAAAAAGAGATTTTTTTTTTTTTTATTTCATTATTGTATCATAGATTTTTTTCAATTTCATTGCCATTATGAACGTTCATAAATTCACATGAAATTTTCGCCAATATGAACGTTCATATTTGTAATATAGTCATACATGTAAAAAATATAATATTATTGCAGAGGTACGAACAGCGATACAGGAATCCTTTAAATTAAAGGCAAGGTCACAAAAGCGAAGTACAATGAAAAAGTTTTCCTTCGCACCTTAGTTGACAATCTATGAAATTGTCCAACAATTTTCACGAATGATAAAATGGTTCTCTATCATATAGTAACCTCTTTTTTGCCAAACGCATTCCGTACTTGTCGTTCGACATTGTTTTTCTTTTTTTTTTTTGTTGTTGTTACGAACGTTGCGTTTTCACAAATATTATAAATTCCTCCGGTTCAGAAACAGAAGGTAGAATAGTAATAACACTTCTCTTTAACATGTTTCACGTTTCTCTATGTATTAACGCCGTATATTGCACCGTGTAATTTCTGCATGCGAATTTTCGTCCGGCGATTTAATTTAACAAAAATTCATCTTGTAATTTGAATCAATTTCGCGTTGCTCAACTTTATGCTCCAATATCTCCGGAACCCGGCAAGGGAAGCATCTTTCATATTTATCATCGGTGATAGTTTTTGCCGGGGCAAAAGAGGGGAACAAAGGTTATAACCGTGGAAACGTGAAAATGGAATTTTCCTTGTTAAAATATTCGGCTCGGGCCGAATTGCCTGTAGGAGTTAGCGCCCCGCTCGAAATTAGATCGCAAGTTACGATTATGAATAATCAGACCGCGTGTGTGCAATATATATATATTTTTTTAAACAGGGGCGGCGCAATATCGCCGCGAGTGTGCTACGAATTATTCGTAGAGAACGTTATGAGAATACAGGTGAAACAGGCGTGAAAGAGTATTAGTCGATTGTACGTTGTAATAGAATAATTAATAAGAAAAAGTCGATGATTAAAGGAAAGAATAGTTAACTGAATTAATTCTGGATGAATGAGAATTAATTCTAGGATACTGGAGAAAAAAATGTAAGTTAAATGTACAATTATTAGTTTTTATAAGAAACCGATTTTTAAATTCAATTCTATATTTATTTGTTTGTTAAATATTTTTAGAAAAATGAAAAATAAAAACAATGTAAAATGTAAATGTAAAAGATGTATTACGTCATAGTATATAAAAATATTATAGGGCCTTATACATCAGATGATGTTCGAACTGAACGTTTAGATTGAAAACTGTTTCTCGAGAATAGAAATCAATTTGATCAGAAATCTAATTCGCGTAATTATTAAAAATTGCTTGGAATTTAATATGTCAGGCTGAAAATAACTGTGTGCGTTTATTTTCTGTTACGTTGCGTGTGTAACACATTTCTTACAATAATGCACAGAAATAAAGCATATATATAATGGAAAATAACAAAGCAAACTGATTTACACCATGACTCCAATAACAATATTTTTCAATTTTTCAATTATGTCACCAGTATTTTTACGCTTAACAGATTTATAACATATGACACGATTTACATTTTAAATTTAACATGTAACACGATTTGTATTTTACGGTATTTATAGCACGTGAATACGTTTTACATTTATTCGATGCATTTATATAATAACGGATTTGTATAAACTTATTTCAATTTCGTACTAAAATACATCCTGTCCGCCAACAGTTAATATCAAAAATCCGAGAAACAAAAGGAAAGAGTAACGAATATATATTTTTTTTCTCGTGACGTGCGATCTTCGTTTCTGTTCTATATTTGAATTATTTCAACGTAAGATGGAAATATAGCACCTAATATAGAACATTATAATTAATGTTTTCCTATCAAATCTTTGGATTAATTGATTAATTGAGTCTATCGGCTAATTTGTTCATTAATCTATCGGTATTTCACTTACCGTGTAAAATATCTCCGTGAGGTGATACACGTACGCGTTCCGCACATACGTCCTGATTATTCTATCTCTTCTCTCGCCCTCGAATCCTTGCTGCACATCCTTTTCCGCGAACTTCCACAATGCTTCGCTGGTAGTTACACCGAATAACAAATCGTATTTGTTGTTACTTGTGATCGGAGCACCGTGTTCAGCTTTCTTTGACAGTGGCCTGAAACCAAAATGAATTTCTGCTCATGTTTATATTTCAGAATCACGCGTCAATATCTACGTGATATCAATGATAGAAGAAGCTTGCATGCTTATCAAAGTGCCAAGAATAAGTTTTTCACTTGTTAATTGTAATTTTGTTCTCCATTCACAATCATTTTGGAGAATTTATAAAAGGTTCTTTCGTTTTTCATGTTTGCTCGCCTTCGGAGAGGGAACAATTGTTTCTCACCCGAATCCTTGGAACTCCGGGCCCATGTACGACAGAAGATCTTTCTGGAAGTCTGGCTTGATCACTACACCGTCGACACTTGGTCCAAACGCGCTCAAAAATGTCGGTGGTTGAATGTCGACCTGCATCAGCTCGTCTAGACTTCGGTCTCGCAGACAGTCGACAATTAATTCGTTGTCCTTAAACAAATCCTCGGGGATCGAGCAGTTGACCGCCTTGGCGAGCTTCATCGCGTAAGAAATTGGGTCCTCGACAACTGCCCACGACGATAGAGCGCTGCCTGACAGTAGAATGGCTCGTTTGAACAGCCCTGCAGAAAGTATTTAATATATCAATCAAATATTATCGCATAAGAAAAGCTATTCGAAAAGTTTGTGGGTACAATTATTGAACTGCGGATTCTTTATAGAAAGTTTCAAGATGCAAAATCGCACAGAATGCGACGTAACACATGAGATTTTATCATTTCATTTTTCATTCTATTGAAATAATTTTCCACCGAGGTCCTGTCTTTTAAATCTGCCAATCAAAAGTCATAAAAATTTAGCAGTTATAATAAATGTTCAAAATTTCCATTCGTGCTTCTCACGGCGAGTAGTCATATCCGGATTACGGATTACGAACATGGAATTCGTTTTTCCTCCGTTGCCCGCAGTTTTTGAAAGATTCAATATTGGAGGGGGGGGGGGAAAGGAGAAACAATTTTTTTTTTGTTTACGAGAGATAAAGTCTGACAAATTCTCGAAATTGAGAATGATGGAGAAAAATGGATTTCCAGATTTATAATCGGCGTGCAGAAATCTATCGGAAGTGGCTGTTTGCTGTGAAAAAAATTTTTCCTCGCAGTATGTTTGATACCGGCAATCTTTGAAGTCTCAATATATTACCCAGACACGCAAGAATCTTTCGTAGTTCGAGTATTGAAAAATAATCGAAGAAAACGCCCAAACGACCGTGTAGTATATTGAAGGTATATGAAACGGACACGGCCATTGGAAAGAAAATTCTGGAGAACATTTTGAAAAAGAAGTTCGTTTCTACTTTCCCTCGTCCATGAGAAACAACGACGCGTCGTTTCTCTTGCCATTTACTCTTTGAGAGTCCAAGGAAAGAGAAATGGTCGTAACGAGGGATACATCGTGGGATGCTTTGATCTTTCCTCTATAGAATCTAACTAGGAAATGTTTCGAAAGTATCTATTCAATTTAGTCTTAATTTGAACCTTTCGAATCTTAGGTGGTAACATCGATGGCATTGAATTAACTCTATAGATATCGAATTTCGTTCACGAGAAAAATTGTTCTCTTCTATCAATCTGTCAATGGCGAATGCGGGTGTAGATCATTTTCAATTTTCGTCGGGATAAAGGTGACGTATATGATGCCGAAAGAAATTTTCTATTGGAAATTGGACACAGTAATACGAAATATACTAGGAACGTTTACGTTCCATACTTGCAAAATATTATTATTTAATATCAAAAGGAGAAAGATACAAAATAAACAACGACAAAAGTAGAAATTGCTGTTTATTTGTTGAAAAGAAAATTGAGAAAGAACGAAAAACTTTTTGTGAAAAAAGTCGTGTTATTTTTGGATTTATGAAAAAAACAATACATTTTGTTACGTATGAATAGTTAGTATTCAATGCTGAAACAGGTGTATGAAATGCCATCACGTCGGAATTATTTGGACGATATTAAAAGAAGAACAATTGAATTTGTCGAATGGAGAATTAATGTCAAACAAAAAAAAAAAAAATCATAGAAATCATTGTCTAGAAGAGAAACACATACACAATAAAATTGACAAGGTGTGATAAAGATATAAAACGCAAATGTACGAAATTGTATAAAAATTTATAAAATCAAATCATTTTGACTCAAATTTCGAGGAATCATCGGTAATCAACTCGTTAAGTTGCACGAAACTGGGATTCGAAGTCGAGATACTTCTACCAAAGTGAAGGAAAATTTGTGTGGTAAAATAGAAGGTTCGAAACTATCCCGATTTCCGAAGACCACGACAAAGAAGATTGTACTGTGCTTCTCCAAACGTTTCTACGTTTCCAAAACCAAAGTTTCCTCGTTAAATTCCTTTCGTGACCAGGCGTTTGTTTGCGCCGAACGCGAGAAAACCTCGCCAACCTGTTAACTAATCGATAGGCCGTGGATTTTTATTTCCTCTCTATTGGAAAATTTGAAAATGCAAAGTTGCACGTAATGCGAAAATATATAAAACGCAGAAAATATTCCAAATGCATTGGTTTAGCACGTAAAACAATTTCCTGCTAAAATTCTACTTTCCAAGTCGTTTTTACAGTTGTTGTTACCTGTCGAAAAATATAAACCTGCACAAATGTTGGCAATTTATTAATAAATTCTAACATGTCGAGTAACATTTCTCAGCTGCAACAAGTTTTTCCTTGCAACAATCGACAAATCAAAGTGCATGCATCGTGGCAATCGCTGCGTATGAAATTTCTTGAAACACAACGGTGTCTGTGAATATTAAGTTACAAAAAGAAAAGGGAAAAGGAAGATGTCTAAAGAAATTTGGATATACGAGAGGATAGCTGTATATTACGTTGTGAGGCTGCAGCGTTTCGACGTAGAGCATGGAACTATAAATTATAATGAGCCTTTTTTGCGAAGGGACCACCAGGATCGGCATTAAGGAGGAAACGTGCTATACGGCCCGGACAAAGGAGATGGAAATTACATCAGAAAGAACGATATCGAACAGTCACGTAGCAAGGATAATCGAGCCGCCGTTCTGTTCTTGTCTCGGCCTCGAGCGAGCAAGAAACCCCCAGAATTTCCCGAAGAAAATACACGGTTGGTGAAAGGCTCGTTTATGCACGTACAACACACCTTATCGCGTTTTAAAATGACGTCGCAATTGCTACCAGCGAATGTTACAATATCAACGATCGTTGTGGATTTTTAAAACTCCAAACAAAACGGGTAGGTTTAAAAAAAAATGAACACGAAACTTGTTCGTAGGTTTCTCTGAGAAACAAGAATTATACGTGGTAATTATAAAAAAATAAATTATGAATGTTGCTCGATGTCCTTTGAATTATCCTGAATTTTTGACATAACATGGATGCTCTTCTAGTTACTGTAGACATTTCGTTTGATAACATAACACTCGAATACAAGGTCTACGTAAAGAAGACTTATTTCACTTTACACTACGACGAACTATATATGTCATTTTAATATTATAAAGTATTTATTTACTAGAGGTTGCTTCTACAGAAATCGTTGGGAACATCTCTTAAATTGAAGATAATGTACGTCCATCGTTGCAATTTCGATCTAAACAGCGGCAACATCGAGACTCGGAAAGAATGCACGGGCTACAAATCCGATCGCAACCTGCCGATCGACATCGATCCAATCGGAGGAACAAAGCTGTTTCGTTAACTTCCAAAAGCCATTGCCTCAATTAATACGTCTTTTCGCTGGCTATCTTCGCGGCCGACAATTTATCAAGACAGATTTATACCAGCAATTTCCAGCGACTTGTATTCGGAAAGCCCTCATCGACGTAACCGTCCGGAGCAATATCGGTTCGGGGAAAATCGGCGAGGCTAAGCGAGAAATTCCAGTCTGACGGGCTGCCCGGTACGTTGGTCGGCAAAGAAACGACGAGAGGGGGAGGGGGGGAACACGGGAGGGGAAAAACGAACGAAAGAAACACAGAGCGGGATCGTGGACGTTCCGCGGCCTCATAAAAGCAGCAAGTATTTTCCAATAGCGCGTGGAGGACGTCCGTGACCATCGGGGAAGAAGAACGATATTTCACGCGCATAATATCACCGAGAATTCCTCCTTCGATCGTTCTCGTAGTTACCTGCCTATTACACTTTATCCTAGCGTTTCGCGATTCATCGTCGATGGTCGAGGAACGATCGTTAACGATCGTGAATGAGACCACGTGAAAACTGTCGGTACGGAGATAAAAGGGGCAACTGATGATATTGGTAGCTGTGTCAATTATCTTCGCGTTACTTGCACCCTCGTGTTAGTTTCCTTTTTTTTTCAAACTTTTTTACATATTTCTTTTTTTTTTATCCTTCTTTTATCCGATTTTCAGAATCTTCTTTTTGTTTTTTTTTGTATTTGTTTTCGCCTTGTTCGCGCGTGTGATCTAATCTTCCTTGTTGTTTTTCTCTATCTCGTTTTTGATGTACAACAGATGTGTTTCAGAGAGTGCTTCAATTTCTCTGTTGAAAATTACTTTATCCCCGATGGTTTCTTGTTACAGGTGGTTGGTAAAGATGGGGGAAGAATTTATCGAAGATACGTGAAGAGTTATTCAAGAAGATTCGATTCGTGTGAATAATGATAGGAGTGAAGCCTACGTGAGTCGATTTCAAGTAGTGGACGAACTTGTCAAAATATCAATGATTTTTTTTTAGATAGTAATTTTGTAAAATTTACTTAATTTGTTTACAAATTTTTATAAAAAATTATTTGTCAAAGGTGTAGTAAATAGTTAGTTTTTTATTTGTATTTTGATAGAAGTTGTTATTAAGAGATTCAAGTAGTGTGAGAGTGTCATAGATCAGACAGACGTCCCAATCCGCTCAGTATTTGATAATAACCATATTTTTCTGAATTATTTGTTACTAGAACTTATTTGTTGAAGTTGAAAATGTAATATAGCAAATGATTAATTTTTTATTTGTAGTTTCTGTATCGTTAGTATTGTATCGCGTTAAACATGCCAAATATTTAATTACTCAATAATAACTATTACCTTTCTTGGAATAATTTTCTATGGAAAATTATTTATTGAAGATGAAAGTATAACATTGTTTACAATATAACAAACAACTATAATTTTTATTTGCATTCTAATGAAAACTGTTGACAAGAGACTTTAGTAGTACAAGATCGTCATAAGTCAGGTAGTTGTGTCACATTGCTTATATCTCTTTTCTAAACATTTAATAACTATCGATCTCCTTACTTATTTTTTATAATAAATTATTCACCAGAGACGAGAGTGTGACATTTCTCACAAAAATTTTTTTATTCATACTCTGACAGAAGCTTAAATAATACAAAACATCAAATATTTTTAGAAGCTCAATCGTTTGAAAACTTGTGGCAAAGTTATTTCTACATAATGTAAACTAACGTCGTTTATTACGTTTTTTTTTCAGTCCGCCGAGAATCCTGCACAAGAAGACTATCAATCGATCCGTGAAATTGCATCTCGAGAAACGTCCGAGTCTCAACGTCGATCAGAAGACCAGCTCGACACACATAAGCTCGTTTCCTTCTGAATTCTTCTCGAGAGTCTCGTTAGTGGTTCGTTCCACGATCGAAGGAATCACCGAGAAGTATTGGATTCCCCCATTGAAAGAGAAGAGCCTCCGTAACCGCCGCCACCGCTGTCTCGTTATTTATGGCATAACGATTTCTCTTTTGCGCACATTCGATCGTAGTTCCAGTTAATTGTTCCAGCACCGAATTTACGAACGGAACGGAGGGGAATTTAACCGAATCTGTGAATATGGATTCGCAATGCATTAGGTTGAGAAACGGGATTTTTGTTACGTTACACGTAATTTTGTTACGTAACACATAATTTTTCCAAGTTGTCTAAGCATCGTTCAGATTACTCGACGAAAGCTTTGAACTCGGAGACGAAGGGAGAGAGGAAGAAACTTACAACTCAAGTTTGATTCTCTTTTCTTGTCGGAAACTTTCTTTTGGATTTATTTTACAATTCGATTGCTGAGATCTCGATCTTTCAACGTCCATGTCTGCATCATTAGAATTCTTTTTCAAAAAATAGCATCTCAAATAGCGTGACAAATTTATAACTATATTTGAATGGTGAGATATTTGGCGAAATGGAACAATTTATTCGTTCAAAAATGAGCGTCGCGTCAGTGAGAAATGGAAGAAAAAAGTCACTCACCACGCACGACCGTCGGGCTGATGGCGAGAAAATGAACACAAGCGGCCCCAGTTCCTTGACCCATCAGCGTCACGTTGTTGGGATCGCCGCCAAACAGGGCGATGTGCTCTTTGACCCATTGAAGCGCCGCGATCTGGTCCATCAGCCCGTAATTCGCGACCCTCGCCTTGGTCTGCGGCGCCATATTGGCGTTGAGGAAACCAAGCACGCCCAACCGGTAGTTCATCGTCACGATCACTTGGTCTGTGTAGCTGGCCAGCACGCTGCCGTCGTACGGATTTCCGCTGCCCCAGTCGTAGCTTTCTCCGTGGATATACAGCACCACCGGATGCTTCCTACTATTGTCCGCCATGCCTGCACAGAGAAAGATATCTTTCAACGTTCTCCTCCCATATAGAGAATACGGCGTAAAAAAAAAAGTATCTAGATAAGAAATAGAGGTAGATTTAGAAATATTTTCACTCGTTTTTACTCGTTGCTCGTATGATACGGAGAAATTAATAATCGTCACGGTGAAATTTATTATAATAGTTTCAATGGAAAAATATTCTCCTTTTTATCGATAATATGTCTGATGTTAGATCTATAACGACGTTCTAGAGACAAGTTTCGTTATTTCATTCGATTCACGTGATTCGTGGTTCGAGGTTCCACATTTGCAGCATGCAAAACGTGTGCATTGCATACATAGAGCGAAATCCACATTTTCTTCAAAAATTTATTTTCATTGGTCATTCGTTCGATTTTTCACTTAAACCTATAGCAGACGTTTCGCGAAGACTGTGACTGACAAATACTGTGTTCGGAGATTGTGTAACCTTCAGGCAATGCCGTGTTCAGAGAATTAAAGAACGATTTCAGACAGGCAGCGTGTTCATTCAATGAATGAATTCCGGCCACACAACCGCCGCCCGACGCCATCGTCTAAAATATTAATAGTCTGTTGCCAGTCGATGTTCGGTCGAAACAGTGGTCGAAGGAAAATGTTGCAGGTGGCTGTGTGAATTCTCGTTTCGTTCAAGGTCCGTCGCAGTCTTTGTTCCCTTATCGTCGTCTCGACTGGCTGAAGGTACAGCTCTGAGCAACGAACGACGCGACGAAGAGTGGAGAGAATCACAGGGTCGAAAGGGGATGGAAGGACGACGGCATTGTTCCCAGCGAAGTCTGTCAGCGATTTATGGTTGTGTGAGAGAAGAAAGAGAGAGAGAGAGAGAGAGAG